TTCTTGTTAGAACAGAGTACCATGCAGAACAACAACAATCTACATGACATTATATAAGAGCTAGACATAGTCCTGAGAGCCTCACTATAGATAGACACTTCCTGTTTATAGAGGAACTTTAACATGGATGTAGACTAAGATTGAAGGAGGTCATAACAGAGACAATGTTTAAGTTATGAGTGTTTGTTGTTTATCAGCTGTACATAACCAAGGCTGAAATCGCCTACTTTAATATAACCTTAACTAACCCAATATTTAACATCTTCAGTTATGACCCCAGCATCAAGGCTACTTCAGCTGTAATAAATATTTGTTACTGCTGCATAGAATCGGATTATATTTATTATTATATTTATTATTATTATTATTATTGTAATAACATTTATAGGGAATCATTAAACCAGTAAGGGTCATACTGCATTTAGAGCACGAAAGGCAGTCGGATTCAATCTATATTTTCATATTTTGATTTTGACTTCACATATAATTTTTTTCCCCATCCAATTACATGTATTGGCCTTATCTTGAGCACAAATGAATTATTTTATACTTATGTTTCTATTACTCATCTTGATCTTCCTGACAATGCATAGTGCTTTACCTAATTTGCTTGAAATGCTGTACATAACAAAGGACTTTCTACATAGTAGTATGTCATTGATGTCAGCTAGGCCTGTATACCTTGTACATGTTTTTTTTTTATTAACACATCAGCCATTTCCTACCAAGACAGGGTGGCCCAAAAAAGAAAAACTTTCACCATCATTCACTCCATCACTGTCTTGCAAGAGGTGCACTTACACTACAGCTATAAAACTGCAAAATTAACACCCCTCCTTCAGAGTGCAGGCTCTGTACTTCCCATTTCCAGGACTCAAGTCTGGCCTGCCAGTTTCCCCAAATCCCTTCACAAATATTACCCTGCTCACACTTTAACCCTTTGACTGTCGCGGCCGTATATATACGTTTGTGAGGTACCGTGTTTGACGTATATATACTCATAAATTCTAGCGCTTCAAATCAGGCAGGAGAAAGCTAGTAGGCCCACATGTGAGAGAATGCGTCTGTGTGGTCAGTGTGCACCACATAAAAAAAATCCTGGAGCACGCAGTGCATAATGAGAAAAAAAAAACTCCGACCGTTTTTTTTAATTAAAATGCCGACTTTGTGGTCTATTTTCGTATAGTATTTGTGGTTGTATTCTCGTTTTCATGGTCTCATTTGATAGAATGGAAACTATATTATAGAAATGGAGGTGATTTTGATTAATTTTACTATAAAAAGAAACTGGAAATGGAGCACAAAGTACAGGAAATGTTTGATTTTTGCCGATGTTCAAAAGTAAACAAATGATGTCATTGTCCAATAAATGTCCAAATAGCCATTCTAATACGCAGTCATGAATGGGTTGATGTAATTTTTACAATTATTACAGTATTGCAATAGTCTGCATAACAGTAAATCTTCTATTTTTTGTTTGAATAAAATCTCAAAATAAAAAGCAAGAGTAATATCACAGGGACCTGGAGACATGACTGATGAACAAAGAAAATCTTATTTTAGAGCCAGGAATGTCTGCATTGTTCATTCTGGACCTTATTTTGAAATTGTCGTATTTTTTAATTTTCGTGAAATTGGCCAAATTGCAAATTTCTGACCATGTTATTGGGTAGTTGAAATCGGTAAATGGGCAGTTTCTTGTGCTCAATCGATAGAAAAAATAGAGTTCTGAAGAAATAGTTATGAGTTTGGTTGACTGGAATAACGGAATTAGCCGAAAATAGGGCTCAAAGTGGGCGAAATTGCCGATTTTTAAATATCGCCGAAGTCGCTAACTTCGCGAGAGCGTAATTCCGTCAGTTTTCCATCAAATTTCGTTTTTTTGGTGTCTTTACAATCGGGAAAAGATTCTCTATCATTTCATAAGAAAAAATATTTTTTTTTTTCGAATATTTTGCGACACCAGGAGCAACTTCAGGATTGGGCCCTTCGACAGTCAAAGGGTTAACAGCATGTCAAGTCCTAAAAACCATGTGTCTCCATTCACTCTTAACATGCTCACACATGATGGAAGTCCAAGCCCCTCGCACACCATACCTCCTTTACCCCTTCCCTCCAACCTTTCCTAGCCCGACCTCTACCCCTCTTTCCCTCCACCACAGATTTATACATTCTCGAAGTCTTCTATTTTGTTCCATCCTCTCTACATGTCTGAACCACCTCAACAACCCCTCCTCAGCCCTTTGGATAATAGTTTTGGTAATCCCGCACCTCCTCCTAATTTCCAAACTATGAATTCTCTTCATTGTATTCACACCACACATTGCCCTCAGTCATGACATCTCCACTGCCTCCAGCCTTCTCCTTATTGCAACATTCACCACCCATGCTTTGCACTTATATAAGAGCACTGGTGTAACTGTACTCATACATTCCCCTCTCTGCTTCCATGGAGAAAGTTCTTTGTCTCCACAGATTCCTCAGTGCACCACTCACCTTTCTCCCCTTGTCAGTTCTACGATTCACTTCATCTTTCATAGACCCATCTGCTGACACATCCACTCCAAAATATCTGAATACATTCACCACCTCCATACTCTCTCCCTCCAATCTGATATCCAATCTTTTGTTACTCTTTCCAGTATTCACTTTTAATTTTCTTCACTTACATACCCTACCAAACTCATCCACCAACCTCTGCCACTTCTCTTCAGAATCTCCCAAAAGCACAGTGTCATCAGCAAAGAATAACTGTGACAACTCCTATTTTGTGTTAGATTCTTTTTCTTTTAACTCCACACCTCTTGACAACACCCCAGCAATCACTTCTCTTACAACCCCATTTATAAATATATTGAACAACCATGCTGACATCACACATCCTTGTCTAAGGCCTACTTTTACTGGGAAATAATCTCCCTCTTTCCTACATACTCTAACCTGAGCCTCATTATCCTCATAAAAAATTTTCACCGCTTTCAGTAACCTACCTCCTATTCCATACATTTGCAACATCTGCTGCACTACCCCCCTATCCACCATGTCATACACCTTTTCCAAATTCATGTATGCCACAAAAACCTCTTTACTCTTATCTAAATACTGTTCACCTACATGTTTCACTATAAATGTGTAGAAATAAAGATTATTATTATTACTCTCACTTGAAAAGCTCCACATCTATGGATGTAATCTTTTTGTTATGTAGTCTCTGTCCTAGTCAGAATCTGCCCAACTTTACATGCAGTGGTACCTCAGGTTACGAACAGCTCAAATTATATATTATAATCATGGGGGAGCGCTAAACCCGTAGGATTATACAGCGCATGTGGGGGGGATGGAAGGTATTCAGACTCAGTTCAGGGAACCAGAGCACAGATTCAATTCCCTAGATCAAGAACCCCTCACCAGCATCAAGGAACCTCCCTTGAGGGGACGAACAGCTCAAAACTCAACCAGTTATGTAAGTGCACTTATGTAAGTGCTTTTGTAAGTAAAGTTTATTTCTTTGTAAAGGTTACAATGTGTAATTACAATTTTGATTTGCTAAGAACAAATTCGTTCGGTATTGGCACTCGAGCAGCCTTCAGGAACGAGAAAAGTTCGTATCCCGAGGAACCACTGTATTATGGTGCATGTAATATTTTGATAATAGAGAATTTGAATTTGATATAATCATGGGGAAGTGCTGAATTTTTAGGGGTTATACAGAATGTGGGAATGAGACAAAATTAGGTTTGATCCAAGAAAGATGAGGTAGACCAATAGTCTGGATCAAGAGCCCTTCACTGGAAACCTTTTCACAAATTAAGAAATAAAACCTGATTTCTTAGTTCATCCTGGCTGGAAACTTGTTTATTATTATTTTGCAAAATTTGTCTTAGTTATGAGGTGTTGCAGCCATGGTATTGCATTTTATTCTGCAAGTGTGCCTTGTTTTAGGCTCTAGATGCATTCCAGGCCTATGAGAGCTACAATATGATCAATCAAGCTAATAATCTAATGGTTATAATTATAACCATAATTTTTGAAGTGTTGGAGAGGTAAGCCAGTGGAAGGCCTCTGTCAGATAGCCAAAAGCTCCAGCTGTGGGTCATCATATGACTAAGACCCATTTCAGGAAATGTGCGTCCTGTTTCCTGGTAAACGTTACTTCAATAAAGAAATAAATAAACCTACCATCCGACTTACGACCGAGTTTGGTTCCGAGAAACCGGTCATAAGTCGAAATGGTCGTAAGTCGAACTTTACTACTGAATATCAACAAAACATTTTTGTAATGACTTTATTTTATTGTTTTATTTTGGTATTTCATGTTTTACTTTACTTTTTATGTTGTTAGTACTGTATTTTATACTGTAAAGTTTAGGATAAACACTGTGTACAACACAAATAGTTGTTTATTTCCCAGAAATTTGGCATAAAAAACATGGTCGTAAGTCGAGTGGTCGCAAGTCGAGTGGTCGTAAGTTGAGCAGGTCGTAAGTCGGATGGTAGGTGTACTTAAATCTGCATAACAGAAATCTTCAATATGTTTTGTGTACTATGTTTACTGTATACAGTGTGTATCTAGCATACAGGTGCTCCTTGACTTACAATGGTTTGACTCTACAAAGGTGCAAAAAGCCATTATTTTGGAGATGAAACTTAAGGTAATTACCCGGCATGAAGGTGGCAAGTCCATAACTTGTAATCATTTACGTATTTACTTTTCAATACTGATACTGAGCTAGTTACAGTTTATTCACTTATTTGGTGACAGTAGTTATTTATTCACTTATCTATTTAGCATATCATATTTACATTCAACTTACGATGGGTTCGTCAGAACGTAACCCCATCGTAAATCGAAGAGCACCTGTATACCGAATTAGACACAGAAGTAGTAAATTCACGGAGGGAGAAACCTTTGTTGCAAATTCTTCATGCAATTCTGAGCACACCTGAGCTCCTCCTTCATGCAAACACTTCCTACAGCTACAACTTTAAATACAACTTACCAGTAGAACTGTGTGTACGCACATTCCTCTGCCACAGGCACGATGGTTTTCACAGTTTTGGCAACAATATGCCTGGTGGGGCTATCATTTTCTCCGGCTGTCTGTGTCTGAGCCGCCATTGCCACAGTGTTGTGTCCTGGTTGGCCACTTGTACAAGTTTTAGGTTTGAGGAGACTAGCCAACTGCAGTCATACAGCTACTAGCTATTCTCTTACACTGGTTTTCATTAACTATATATATAGTCCCTGGGTCACCATATTGCACTTTAGCCACTTATACTAATTTCTTAAATCACTTCTGCTTAGGCACTTTGGTAGAGGGAGATTTTGGTAAAATTAGAGCTAATAGGAAGTTGCAAACTTATAAGCAATTTGCATTTGCAGTGTTTCAGTTGTATTTCTGGTGTTTGATGTTCAACATAGCTCAAAATGCTGTTTCAATTTGCAATGAGATATGTTCATGGGGTTTCAACTTCCAGAAAAATTGCATTGCTACTGTCTTAACTAAAACTGAGTTATTTTACTAAAGTTTCAACTTGCAAAAGAATTTTTTTTTCTACAGAAAACAATAGCACAAAGGATGATTATACTTCACATGGGTTGATATTGCATATTGGTAATTGCAAAACAAATACAGTAATTTCTTCCTAGGAACCCCATTTGTCAGTGAGAATGTTTGTAACTTTAGCCATTAATAAGTACGTACATATATATCTCTTTATTTAAAATCTTTAATGTATGCACAGATAATAACTTTATATACTAACAGAAACAGTACCAGTCAGTATTATTCAAAATATCTTCATAAAACACTACAGCAAAAATAATGCAACTACAAATCACTTGACAAGTAAAATCTTTTGATTAAAATTTTTTTTAGCACTGTATGTAGATTGTACTAAAATTTCACTATTGTTATAACCAAGAGGAAGTTTTAAACCCATAGATATCACACACAGACTGTGGAATGGAAGGCAATTTAGGTTTGATCCAAGGAGAGGGAGGGTGTGTAGGCAAAATTTTTTTGGGATCAGGAGCCCCTTACCAGCATCAACGACTTAAAATATCATCATATTCACTAGAGCCAGATCACAAACTCCATTATTAAAACTAGTGTAGAGACGGTGTAATCAAGGTAGATATCGGTCAGTTTCATATAACATAGATCAGTGAAATTGTCCAGCTGTTGTTATTAACCTTGTAACAATACAAGATCTGGGACCTAAACATATGATAGGAAAAAGTTATGCGCAAAACAGAGCAAATTTGTTAAGTTCCTCAAGTCAGTTCCTGATCAGTTGGATAAGATAAGATAAGATAAGATTTCGTTCGGATTTTTAACCCCGGAGGGTTAACCACCCAGGATAACCCAAGAAAGTCAGTGTGTCATCGAGGACTGTCTAAATTATTTCCATTGGGGTCCTCAATCTTGTCCCCCAGGATGCGACCCACACCAGTCGACTAACACCCAGGTACCTATTTGCTGCTAGGTGAACAGGACAATAGGTGTAAGGAAACGTGTCAAAATGTTTCCACCCGCCGGGAATCGAACCCGGGCCCTCCATGTGTGAAGCGGGAGCTTTTAGCCACCAGGCCACCGGGCCACCTCCTGTGGTGGACTGTGGTGCATATATTGGACTCTGTGAAGAAAGCACCAACAGCCTTGTTCAACAGGCTGTCAACAAGGAGGCCTAGTGTAGGACTGGGCTGCAAGGGCAGTGACCCCCTGAAACCATCTCCAGGTAACTTTCAGGTAACCATAAAATAGTGATTATCCATTTTTTTATTACATTGGCCACCTCTACCAAGGTAGGGTGACCCAAAGGAGAAAAAATACTTTCATCGTCATTCATTCAATCACTGTCTTGTTAGATGTGCACTGATATCATAGTTAAGATAACCTTCCAAACTGTAACATTCCCACACCTCCTTTAAAGTGCACGCACCATACTTCCCACCTTCAAGGCTCAAGTCTAACTAATTTCCCTGAATCTCTTCATAAATGTTACCCCTGCTCATACTCCGACAGCAAGTCAAATCATAAAAACCACTTGCCTCCAGTCACTCCTTTCTAACATGCTCACACAAGCCTGTTGGATGTTCAAGTCCCAAGCACACAAAACCTCCCTACACCACCTCCCCAGATTTATATGTTCTCCTAGTCTCCTCTATTTTTATCCATCTTCTCTTGTATGTCGAAACCACCAGTAACTATAACAGCAGCAATAACAACAGCAATAATAGCAGAAACAGAAGCAACAGCAAGAACAGCACAAAAATAAAGACCTCCTCAACCCTCTGAATATTTCTGGTAGTACCACACCACACCACCCTATCAGGTGGTGTTGAAAATCTGATACACCCATGGCTTCCTTCCCTTCCCTGAAGAGATCAACTAATGGGTTATCTACTGTACTAGTAAATCTTGCAGTACTATGCCATATTTTAATTTTTTTTTTTACCACATTGGCCATCTCCCACAAAGGTAAAGTGGCCCCCCACCCAAAAAAAAAAAAACATAATTCATTCAATATCTGCCTTGCCATTAGTGTGCAGACTTCACAATTCAAAGGACCCTCTGAATTGTAATAGTGCCACCCTTTCTTCTGAGTGCAGACACTGTACCTCCTGCCTCCATGATTAAAGTCTGGCTAATTGGTTCTCCTGTTTCTCTTAGGAGGTAGTCAGTGTGATTAAAGGAAGGGGAAGGCAGCTGCAGTTCCTTGGATGAATTATTATTATAATCAAAAAGAAGCACTAAGCCACAAGGGCTATACAGCACTGCAGGGTAGGGAAGGAAGCGAGGGTATTGGGCAGCAGAAGGGGGGAGGGATGATCAGTAGGTTACAGAAAACAGTGGGGCAGGGGATAGTGTGGGGGTAGAGGGTAGCAAGAGATTGTGAAGAAAGTTTGTGAAGTAAGTCAGTTCTTGTCAAAAAGCTAATGAAAGAGTCCGGATGAAAGGTGGGTCCATCAGCGAGAAGGGAAGGTAAAGAGAGAGCAGCGGAGCGAAGACAACGACTGAGGTAAATTCTGCGTGCTCGTTGATAAAGTGGGCAGTCTAACAGAATGTGGCTGACTGATAATGGAACCTGACAATTCTCACAGAGGAGCAGGGCACCTCTCCATGAGATATCCATGAGTAAGACGAGTATGGCCAATGCGAAGACAGGAGAGAGTAGTCTCCCAACCTCGACACTGGTGACAAGAAGGCGGCCAGTAACCTATACTCGGTTTAATAGATTGAAGTTTGTTACCGAGCAGAGTAGACCAACGTTGTTGCCAACGGGTGTGAAGGTGGGTAGCTATAGCAGCAAAATAGCCCGTAAATGGAATACTGTACCTCTATATGAAACTGGTAGGTCATGTACTGCTGACCGCGCAGCCGTGTCTGCCTATTCATTGCCCTGTACGTCAACATGACCAGGGACCCAACAAAAAACAATATCTTTATGCTTGGTAAAGATGCGGCATAGCCAAAGTTGGATACGGAGGACTAAGGGGTGAGGTGTATCAAATTTCTGTATAGCCTGTAAAGCACTAAGGGAGTCTGAGACAACCACAAATGATGACACAGGCATAGATGCAATACGGATACGTGCTGCAAGAATGGCATACAATTCAGCAGTAAAAATACTAGCTGAAGATAGTAAATGCAGTCATACGACGCTGTCCGGAAACACTGCTGCGAATCCTATGCCGTCAGAAGACTTAGAGCCATCTGTGTACGCTGCAATGGCATGAGAACGAGAGTGGAAGTGGTCAAGAAAAAGAGAGCGGGAAGTGACCGTAGACAGTTGGGCTTTCGAGCAAGGGAGAGAGAAAGAATAGACTTGAACAGCTGGAACTTCCCAGGGGAATAGGGAAAATGATGCTACATGAACCTAGAAAGGTGGTAACTGAAGAGAAGACAAGAGCGAATGTAGGCGAAGAGAGAAGGGACGGAGTAAACAGGGGCGGCGAGCAAATAAAGAATGTCTACTAATATCAGTGACCATTCTATAAATGGAAGGATTGCGAAGATCATGAGAACGTACATAGTAGCGAAGGCAATGGGTATCATGGCGATCGGATAAGGATGGAACGTTTGCTTCTGCATAGAGGCTCTCAACAGGGGAAGAGCGAAAAGCACCAAGGCATAAACGTAATCCTTAGTGATGAATGGGGTTAAGGCTAGAGAGAGTAGCAGGAGAAGCCGCTGAAAAAATCTGGTCACCATAATCAAGTTTTGATAAAATGAGGGTGGAATGTAGGCGAAGGAGAGTTTGACAGTCAGCTCCCCATGAAAGATGAGCAAGGGCTTTAAGAAGGTTCAGCTGGATGTGACAAGTTGCCTTCAGAGAGGTAATGTGAGGTTTCCAGGATAACCTACGGTCAAAGAGGAGGCCCAGAAACCTGACTGTATCACGTTCAGGGATACGGGAGCCATAGAGGTACAAAGGATGATTGGAGATGACAGAGCGTCTAGTGAAAGTAATTCGGTGAGTTTTGGTACTGGAAAATTTAAACCCATGTGTGGTGGCCCAATTGGAAACACGGTCGACCGTATGCTGGAGAGAAACTGTAATGAGGTGACAGTCAGCGCCTGCACAGGCAATAGTGAAGTTATCAACATAGAGTGATGACCAAATATTTGATGGGAGACTAGAGGCCAAATCATTTATAGCAAGGAGAAAAAGTGTTGTGCTCAGAACACATCCCTGGGGGACACCTTCAGCTTGGATAAAGTCCGGGGAGAGCACATTATTAACCCGAACACGGAAATGCCTGTCAGTTAAAAAGCTCTTAAGGAAGGATGGTAGATTGTCTCGGAGGCCTAAGGAGTGGGCTTGGGCCAAAATATTATACCTCCAAGTTGTGTCATATGCCTTCTCAAGGTCAAAAAATATGGCAATAACTGAGTGGTTATTCGCAAAGGCATTACGAACATATGTATCCAAGCATAGTAAGGGGTCTATGGTAGAACGTCCCTTACGGAAGCCATATTGACGAGTGGAGAGACTGTTGTGTGTCTCTTAATACCACATTAAACGTCTATTTACCAGGCATTCCATCACTTTGCAAACTGCACTGGTAAGAACAATGGGATGATAGTGGGAGGCTTCATGTCCCGTAGTGCCTGGTTTGCGGAAAGGGAGAACAATGGCAGATTTCCACGGCTGTGGAAGAACTCCTTGTGACCAAATAAGATTGAAAAGGCCTAATAGGACTGCAAGGGCTGACTGATGTAAATGTTGTAGCATACGAATATGAATGTTGTCGGGCCCAGCTGCCGATGACTGGCAAGCTGAGAGTGTTGCCTCCAGTTC